CCCCTTTTTTTTTATAAAGTTTTTTTGAAAAGGGGGGGGGGGGGGGGGGAAAAAAGCAAAAACCAAAATTTGCGTTTTGTTTTCAGTAATTAAAAAAATATATATATTATGTGGTGTCCAAAGTAAGTGTTGTTGTAGTCTTGGAGATGTTTGTATCGAGCTTATTTCGTGGTGAATAAACTTTTGACACATGCTCTAGATAATGTCTCTTCTTGGATTTAGAAGTTTTTTTTACTAGAACTAAAACATAAAACATTGATTACATAGTTTTAATTACAAAGCTAGGTGGAGAAGAAGCTGTTTGGATTTAGAAGTTTCTTGACTTGAACTAAAACATAATACATTGATTGTCCTTGCTGTTTTAGCCTGTCAACATGGAGAATCATATTGTATCCAAATAGTGATTGTTTTAAGCATTTAGGATCTTTAGTCGACAAAGATGAAAGTATGTAATGCATATAACTAGAGCAGCTTGAATGAAAGGAACAAGTGTTTGAGGATCTTATTTTCTTGTAAAATACCTATGTAGTTAGCAGACAGGTTCTAGTAAATGGTACTAGACCAGTGTGAGGATGTAAAATGATGAATGACGAATAGAATGGATTAAACAAGAAATGATAATATATGTTCGTAAGTGGATGCGACACAAATTGAGAATAAATTAAGGGGAGGACGAATTATGTGGTTGTGGCATGTCTCATGTAGATCTAAAAAAGTCCTTGTTGCTCACATAATCTCAATAAGCATGTTAGGAGGGAGGAGAGACCAAAATAATATAGACTTAGGGTTTAGTTGAACAAATTGGTGTAAAATAATTCATACAACTGATTCTAAATCTGTTGAGTTTGAATTTAGACAGAATGCAACTGAGTATGAACATGCTTGGTGTGTCATAATTGAAATTTTTGATTTGCTTTCTTAACCCGAATATCAAATTTGAATGTTCTTATTGGATGTGTCGACAATGTTCTTAAGCTAGTTATGTTCACCATTTATGTGGCACTCCCGAGTCAAATTTTAGGAGGCAAAATGGGTTAACAAAATTTCCTAAGCATCACTAAACTCAACTCAATATATATATTTGAGAGAAGTGCACAATTGACCCATTGAACAAGTGCCGAGTTGAGATATTGTGCCAAGATTCTCATATTGTTCAAAATTTTGACACGTATCATATTATGACTGTTACTGTAAATGTTTTGTATTATCAGTTGTGATATAGTTGCATGATGACTTTGTTGTACAAGTAATTCAAGGTGTATCTTGGGGGTGGAGGGGTGGGGGGAAGCAATAATGGAAGTTCTAACTCCTTCAAGTTATAAAGTAACATTAAATTTCTCCCTTTACATCCCAAATCTGATTTCACGGTTTGCTTTTTGCGGGCAAGCTGATGTTTCATTGATTTATTTAATTTTTAATTAAGAAGTTGCTGTATTGAACTCTTGCTTATTATTTTATTACTATGCTATCGTTTTCCTGTGAACTATGTATTGTTTCATGAAAATAACACTGCAGTAAAGTGTTCTGGTTGATTGCAAAAGCAATGCATTCAATGTTGATGAAGGGCATATAGTTGCAAGCAAAGAAAATAACTATTAGGGTCCTTTGCTTCCTGCAATATTAAAGGCCAGCCATTTAATATAGCATTTTTTATACGAAAGTCACTATTCTAATCTCATTCTGACCGTACACTTACACCCCACGCGGTCGCTTTCGATCCGTCTCAGTAGCGGCCGCAAAATAGCGTGGACAGCACACTGTAATAGGACGGAACATATTGTTTTGGCCAGAATGCAGGCTGCCTAAAATTTTGCAATTTTTCAAGGCGTTAATGAGGTTTTTCTAAGTCCCGACCCAGCCATTTTGGGAGGAAAAACACATGAACCTGCAGTGGGATATTTTGGGATGCAAGTAGGCAACTTGCATAACTTGTCCACTTGTGCCACTTGCAAGATATTATCAAAGATAAAAGCTAAGCGTGAGTTGGCGAAATATTATCAAAGGTGCAAGCAAAGCACTAGTTGGTAAGATTAATATCTACTATGCAAGCTAAGATCGAATTGGCGACAACTTGCAAGGAAAGTTGTAAGCTTATCCACTTGAAGACAACTAAGCATGAGTTGTAAACAACTAGCACGAGTTGTGACCAACTAAGCATAGGTTGTAAAGTAATGCAACTTGATCTTAAGGAGGTTTAAGTTTTGCCTATAAATAGAGATGGAAGTCTCATTTGTAAATCATGTAGAGTTAAGTGAGTTTATTCATTAGAGAGATTGTAAAGTTTTCCCTTTCATTTATACAAAGAAAGTTTCCCAACCTTACTTGTTTTTCATATATCCCTTACTTCAAAATTCTCTTCTCAATGTGGGAATAATTTAGCCTCCTTGGTTAACTTATTTGTGAGAGTGAAAAGTCTAACTTAACGTTTTCTCATGAGGTGCAGGAATCGTCAAGCATTAAGGCCGCACGGTTTTAGTTGTTCGGGTGTAACGAAACTAGGTCCGTGACAAGTGGTATTAGAGCCTCGTTTGTAGGCCGTTATAATGGCGGAATCTCAAGAAACTGTTGATATTGAGATTGAGGAGAGGGGTCGAGGTGCTGCCCAAACTGAAGTAAGGAAAACTAGAGGCAAAAGTAAGGTGAGGGAGGCCACCAACATGGAAGGTAAACTTGACCAAATCATCTCAAATATAGGTGATCGATTCGAATCTCTTGAAAGCTCCTTCGAGGAGTTGGAGGGACATGCCATTGGAAAGCTAGAAACTCTACAAATTAATATTCAAGAGGTGATGGACACACAAGCATCGTTGGAAAATGATGTTCAAACGATGAGAGATGATGTTCAAGCTGTGGTAGCCGGACAAGCCGCGATGATGGATGATTTTGGCCATCTCCAAACCAAAGTCTTGGATGCCATTTTCGCCATGTATGGCCAAGTTAACCAATTGGCTGTGATGATGTAAAGAATGAGCAAAGAGCTTAAACAATACAAGCACTCCACTGCCAGTACAAGCGGAGGTGCTGCTTCAACTATTGTTGCCCCAAGGATTGAATACCCCAAGCCTAAAAATTATGATGGGCGACGGGATGCCAAAGATGTGGAAAACTTCCTATGGCAAATGGAAGTTTACTTTGAAGGCGTAAATCTTGTTGATGAAGCCATGAAAGTCCGGACCGCTTCTATGTATCTTACCGACACCGCATCTCTTTGGTGGTGTCGTAAGCATGCTGATATTGAGCATGGAGCTAGCAGAATTGATACTTGGGATGAGTTCAAAAGGGAGCTAAAAAGACAATTTTACCCCGAGAACGTTGTGTACGAGGCCCGCAAGAAATTAAGGGAATTGAAACAAAAAGGGACCATTTGTGACTATGTCAAAGAGTTCACGACCCTTATGCTTCAAATCCCTAGCATGCTGGAGGATGTCTTGCTATTCTATTTCATGGATGGATGTACAACATGGGTGCGGCAAGAATTACAACATCGCGGAGTCAAAAATGTAGATGAGGAAATTGCGATTGCCGAATCTTTGACGGAGTTCCAAAGGAGTACGGAGTTGCAAGCAAGGACTTTCAAACCAACTAAAGGGAATTTTGGCAGAGGTGCAGGTGATATGCGAAAAGATAAAGAGTAAGCCAAATTGGAGGCCAAATCCCAAAGTTGATTACAAACTCGGTGGCAACAAATCAACTATTTGGCGAAAGGAGTATGATGATAAAAAGAGGGGTAATTTTGCTCCTCGTAGTTGCTTCATTTGCAAAGGGCCACATCTCATGCGGGATTGCCCTAAACTTGGATCCTTGGCATCTATTACGAAGACTCAACCGAAGGCTTCCCATGGTGAGGAGGAAAATAAGGACGTGATGCCCAAGGAGTTGCCAAAGAAACTTCCGCCTAGGAGGGGAGTAGACTATCGCATTGAGTTGGAGCCTGGTGCTAAACCCTCGGCCATGGCACCTTATCGTATGGCACCTCCGGAGTTAGAGGAACTTCGAAAACAACTTACGGAGCTTGTGGAGACGAGAAGGATTAGACCATCCAAACCTCCCTATGGCGCCCCGGTGTTATTCCAAAAGAAGCTGGACAGGACACTAAGGATGTGCGTTGATTACCGGGCACTAAACAAGGTGACAGTGAAAAACAAGTATCCTATTCCATTGATTGT